ACTGACTGTTTCCATGGTTTAAACTGGCTGATCAGCTGTCAGACTGATAGCTCAATAGACAGATACAGTGATTGGGCAGGAAATCATTTTAATATGGCAACATTGCCCAGCGAGCAACCAATACAATGACTGGAAGACAGATTCAGTATTAAATTAGATGAAGTTAACAGCTTCAGTCTTGTGTTACACTGCACAAAGTGCTTTTGCTATTTAAAGCTTCAGATGCTTTAGTAGCCTTCTTAACAGTTCAGAATATCTGAACGTTGAAACAGACTCACTCGACCGTGATTTGTGGACTGATATAAATATAATTAATTTGCCTTTTAGTCATGAGTGATCAACTCAGCAGTCATTTGTAGAACATGTGGTAAATCTGGAAAAAAAAAAAGAATAAATAAATATATAAAATCAAAGATATAATATAAAATCGTTAACCAATTTTTTTTGCATTCCGATGGTGACAATCAGACCGCCACTTTCTACCAGCAGAGAGTGCTACAACTAGAATTTCTTGTGCAGTGTCTTCCCAGGATGTCCAATCATTGTTTTACTTAACACACACACACACACACACACACCATATGCACACTAATGAGTCAGATAATGATTACTCTGACACATGAAGGCTCCACTGCCAATTCAGCCCTTTTTAACCTCAAAACAAGTCTTAATAAACCAGGATCAAAACTGCTAACAACAAATTAGGTCCTTCCTAATTAAGGAAGCAAAGACACACTCCTCCTCTACAGAAAAGTGTGCTGGATCCAAACTACTTCTTTTAAAATGAGATTTTTCATCGAGCTGTTCCTTTCTCATCCACAAGGCACATGGAGATCTCTGACATGATGAGGACTAAAACTCAGAGCATGTGAGATTTATTAGCAAACTATCACATGCTACAGTTTTATAGAGCTTAAAGAATTCAAGAATGCCGTCATCTCAAGAACACCCACACACCCAGGACCAAGACAAGCTGCGTGTTAAAGGGACAGGCCCAATGAACCTTCCCTGATATCAGCCACATTCCAGAGGGAGTGGGAGAACAAGACACCACACTCCTCTCTCAGAACTGGGACTAACAAAGGATTAAACCTGATGTTTCTGTGAGCCACCGCCAGGTCTTTAGATAAAAAACATCTTGTCTAACCAGTTTCTTATAATGGGGAATGTTAAGTCAGTATACTGTGACGACAAAGTCCTCCACACATTATTAAAAACTTGTCAGCATATTTCCTGCATTAATCATTGTTAAAGAATAATTTTACTGATTCCTTTTTGGGAAATACACTTCTAAAATAAAGCATGGTGCAAAAATGACCGTCTTTAATTTGCTCTGGGTAAATCACTAACCCAGAGTGACAACGCTTTTATTTTTTAAAATATATATTACAAAATATATTCTTTACTTTACAGTCAGAAAAATATAAAGCTAAAATTAACCCCCCAAAAACAGGATAACTCTCACAGATCATATGCCTTAGTATTCTGTAAATGAATAAAAGATCCAACACACCAAGTGTTAGTGCATTATGCATATGAAAGTAAAAGACGCTTGTTGGTTATAATGTGAGGACGTCTAGGATGCACTGTACCACGAAGTCCATAAAATTTAACGGGAATTTGGTAATCTTGGTTCTTGATCTACTTTAGATTTGTATAATTGCTATCCATCTAGATTATTCTGCTAAAACAAATTGGGCACTGCTAAGACAGGAAATGTTTGTAAGTTCTCTCATTAATACAACTAAAATACAGCCGTGTCACAGTGATGGGAATGTGGTAAATTACAAGTAAAATATATAAAAACTAACTCATGACTATTTAACAACTCTATTTCCTTCCACTTGTTTTTGTAACCAGCATGTCTGAAGTTTGAGTGAGATAGACAGTTCGACAGCTCTGGCACATTACATAAATTAGGAAATGTCATGATTGTGTTTTCCACTTTTCATTTTAGTTTATAAGAACTATTTAAGCTGTCCTGTTTCGTGTTTAATTTGTTCTGTGGGCAGAGCTGTTATCACAGTATCCGTTGTGCAGCTGAATTCATATCATGGAGCAATGTCAAGCCTCTACTCATTAACTCAGAACTCAAGCATATTGTTGAACTGTTTTTTTTTACTTTGTGGTTGTGTGTGGTTGTCTAAACTACAGTAGAAGCAGTTATATGTCCTGTGAATTATATCTTACTTTAGAAGCACACAATATAAATAGCTTGAGACTGAAATGTGGAGTGAAATAAATGTTTTTGAGCATGTCGATATAAAGGATACTCAGGCCTGGCTTTAGTGCAGCATGAGGGAAGGCAACAGAAAAACGTGTCTCATAAAATCTCGAGTGTCTATGTGTTTGCAAGACTCAGTTACAGTGAAGAATCCCGTATTAGGTTCTGCTAACCTATAAATGACTAATTTTCAATAAAACAGCACAGATCAGTAGGGAGACATAGAAGACAACTAAAACATAGTGAAGTTTACCTTGTGAAGTTCAAGGGTATCAATCCACTGGTGCCGGAGCTCAGGATCTTCAGCCCGCAGGTACCAAATGTTGTCATTTATACTGATGTCAAAGCGGCATTTGTCAAATTCATGCGGCTGTAGGCAGAGACATAAAAGAATAAATTTATATATATTTCAACAACGGAACTTAAAATGAACACTTCCTACATTACTGATAAGGAAAAACAAATTACATGTCTGTGTCTACTTTAGTACAGAAATCAGACACGTAAATGGTGAAAAATGATCAGAGCGCACTTATATTACGATCATTGTAGTATAAATGCATACAATGTATACAAAATATACAAAATACAGCAAATGCATACAAAATATATAGAATCAGACCAGAATGTTCCTCCCCAGGCTAACCAATAAAATTGTACTGTGCTCCATGGCAGACTGTACCGTCAGTTGTTCATGCTATATTCAGATTATATCACAGCTCTGTTGAATGCTCGAATCTGATTGGTCAGAAGTTGTGCATTATTTTCATAAAACGGCATAGGAAGCTCTGGCTGTAACATGAACAACAGGTTAACATTAATGTGCCCGTTCTAATACGTTATTGTTTTTATAGTAACAACTCATACACAGGGACTTGTACAGTGGACGCTCAAAATAATCTAAGAACAATAATGGCTGGTGAAGGTGAAGGAGCTGGTGTTAATCGCAGTTTTATGTGAAGTGAAAATAGAAACTATCTTGTTTCTCGGGGTGTTCCCATTAAATCTAACTATAAACCTTTAAAATGTGCAAGGTGTCATTCATTAATGAATTAAATACTGTAAGGGCTGGTAAATCTCTGTGGCATAAGCGGAATAAAACACTCCTGACCATGCTGTTATACATAAATAATGCACTTCTCTCACAATAGCTTTACAATGCAATACTGCTCCTCTTCAGACGCTCGTCACAGCAGCATTCACATTCTGAGTTTTGGTCCAGAATTTCTGGCACTGCCAGAACCTGTTTGTTGGGAGTTTTCTGGTCACAAAGGTGTTATATTCGCCTGCTAGTTTAGTAATTCCTTCATGATTTCCATTTTTTTGGACCATGACAGCATTATTGTGATGCAAATCATACAGTCTAAAGCAGTCTTAATTTGATTTTGACACATGAAATTTTTGGCCATGTCTCTGACTGATTTATTCTGACACTTGAGGTCTTCACTGTTGAAACAACAGCAAGACTCCATACAAAACACATCTATATATCATCTATCCAAATAATTTTTGTAAAAGAAAGGCAAGTAATTCTAACACTGTTTGCCTGATACCCTTCACTTAAAACTGACATTCTGCACTTTAATCTCATTGTTTCATTTCAGCTTCAGATTTTGATTTCCAAACTAAAGTGAGTCCAAACAACACCAAGCTCCAATTAGTTACAAACTAAAATGCATGCAAGGCCTTCTACACAGTATCTCCTTGACCTTCGAATGTGGTCCTTGAAGTTTTTTCTACACTCTTAGAGATTACCTGCTACAAGAAACAGACACACACACACACACACACACACACACACACACACACTTCAGGTGGTGTTTTGACTCATTCGGCATTCTCCTGCAGAGAACGAGCGCTGCGCTGCTTTCACTGTTTTTGTCTGCTAACCTGATAAATACTCTAGTCTGGGATGGAATAATGTCAGCACACTGCATACTTGCTTGCTTACTAAGGGCCAATTTAGCTGGGAATGTCGTCCACTTGCTGAAAAATTACCACATGGCTCTTGTATCATTTTTAACGCATACATGCTTTGGAAAGATGGCGTGTGTCACAACTCAGCATCTGTTTCTGATTAAGAAATATGACTAAAGGCCAGTCAAAACGTTATGCAACAGTTCTAGTAAATAGAACTAAAGACAAAATTAATACAACAGTTGACAGGACAAAACATTAGAGAACTATGTGAAAGCAGGTGAAAATGCAACTTCTCGACTGGAGAAGCTTTGTTAAAAACTGCTCCACATGACTATTTCCTCATACTTGAGGCACTATAACAAAAGATCTGTGTATGAACTCGGCCGTTCTGAGGATTTAGTGAGAGGCAACAAGCTGTGCTTGTTCAAACAAGACTATGGAGTACACTCCCGTCTTTCATGCCTTCTCTACACTCCCTGATTCTTTGTCATACAATACGAACAATCTGAACAATCTTAATTGAAAAGTGGACCATATATAAATATATATAAATGT